GCGTAAGTAATAATCCAGACTAGGCCACAACCTCTCTCAACCAAACATCCTGCTGCAGTCACATTTTAAAATCTGTTCTCTCTCTTCCACAGTCAGTTTGTCATTGCAGTGTGATCGCTGCAACCCTCCTCTGCCCCGGTCACCTCCATTCCAGCTCAGCAGAGTTCAGATCCAGACTCAGAAACCCACTCCTCATCACATCCTGCATTCATCTATCACCACCACCACTACCAGGGTTTGGAGACTATTAGTGTCAGAAAAACATGGTAAAGAGTATTTTGCATAATAAAAAGAAATCAAGTTTTATTCCCCATTCTAATCTGAATCCTCTCATAATACAGCCATTTGGTAGAAAATGACTCGTATAAAAATTCATGAAAGAGAAATCATAAGAAAAATAGTTTCTCAAATGCTTTAGTTAAATGCCGAAATGAACTGCTGACAAAGGGGGCTCAATTGCAGTTATGAGTTTAGGACCAACTGACAATGGCATCAAGTCTCAGCTCACGGATGAAGACTGTTGCGCCCCTTTAATTTCAGTTAATGAGTATAAAACTGAGATTGATTTGGTTTTGAAATCAGGTCTCTCCGGAGGCTGGATTACAAAGAAAGAAAGATAATTTCTGTCAGTAAAACATCCCATCTGTCCTGTGTTTCATGGTCTCCCCAAAAGCCAACAATCACTTTATAATCTGCCTCTAACCCAGAACTTCCACTGGATACGTGTGCATTGTGTGTCAGCGTCCTTGTACAGCAACATCCACAGGCTGCGCAAAGCAGCACCCCTGGACAGCTGGAGTCCAGAGAGCAAGGACTTCCAGTGGTAATACCATGGATGTGGTATGTGGTCGGGGGTTCGATCGCCAGCTCCTGCAGTGTCCGATGTGTTTTGGGCAAGACACTTAACCTCAAGTTGCTCCTGCTGCTTCATCAGCGGCATATGAATGGATTAGATACTTTTGATGGTCACTTAGCAGCTTCTGTCATCAGGGTGTGAAAGTGTACTGTCCTCAAATAACACATTTTACCGAAGATTTCATTATGGAAAAGGTACATAGAAGATATTATTTCTGTGGACTGGCACCGTAGATGAGCTTAAAGACTTTGTGGATCACATTATGAGGCAGTGGCACATATATTTTCTTGTCTCCAGCTTGACCCGGTGCATCACAACACAGCTGCTCGTTACCTGTTCGTTGTGGAGGAGGAGGGCAGGTGACTTATTAGAAGTGAGTGACACTGACCACACTGATTAACATGAAGTTTATAAACAACCGTAATGTTAAGAAACAACAACAACAACAACAAAGCCCTCGGGAGCCCAGGGAAGAAAAAGAAGAAGAGAAGGAAAAATGTGAAAAAGACACAGAGGTAACCGTGCTGCACGGATCAATTATTTATATGTTGGAGTTAAGCTAGCTTGTTATGGATGGATGATAGTAACGTCAGTGTTTCCTAGCTCGAGTTAACATCAGTTATTTTCACTGTACTTTTAGTAGTTTAAGATTATTCACCAGTGTAAGTAATACACTTCTTTTGTATGGTAGGCTATGTTGTTTGGGACACTTCACATCTCTGTGTACTTAGTTAGCTTTCACCCTAGTCAATTAAAATGTTTATTTTCCAACTCCTGTTGTCAATAATAGTTTTAAGCTCTTGCCTATAGAGTATTTATGTTTAATTGCATGAATGCATTTTGTGCATGAAGTCCTCACTGAATAGATGTGTGCATGCTGTAATTCTGGTTGTTAGGAAAACTTTTGGTCTCACCTGAAAAACTATGCTGAGGTTTATGTACTGCTCTGAACAGAACATTTTTCACACTATAGTATAAAATGTTTTACAAATGCTCCTCTTCTCTCTCCAGATACATTTAAATCCATCCCCTGCAGGTCCCTGTGACCACTTCAGCTACCTGCACTGTTTGGCATTGTTTGTTCTGTTAGACTAGTTATTTGTATTTATTTTATTTTGTATGTATTTATTAGAAATGTAAGAGTTATTACCAATTTATTCATGTTTGTTTATAAGTATTTTTTTTTAAATGAAGAAATTATGTTAAATATAAAGCTGTATGCCAATTTTGGGTTAGTGTATGAATATTGTCTTTGGCGGTCAAACTGTCTGCAGTTTCAGGGTCAGCCGCTGAAATCTAGCCGAGGGCACCAAAATGATTAGGGCCGGCTCTGATGGACAGCACCATATACCAAGAAGCAGAAACACACTTGTTAAGGGCCTTTCAGATAGGACACGGTTGGCACTGAGTAGGGTGCAGAGCAAAAGGGGAGCGCGCACACCAGCAAAAAGCAACAGCGCGCGTTGCTAGGTGACTGAAACAATATACTGGAAAATAACTCGGGAAAGTAGCTTCTACCACAGCACTATGTAGACCTGAGTCCATTATTGAGAAAAAAAATACCCAACCTTTTCTTCTGCTGTGGAGGGGGAGACGAGCAGCAAAGAAAGAGGTTGCGTGTTCATGAAATCCTTAGGGCTTGCAGGATGTGGGAGAGTTTAGGCTCGTTCAGGAGCTGCAGCTCTATAACGATCGCTTCACGAGCATGACACACATTACTGCTCTGTTTTAAACACACCTGGAACGCCCAAACTGCTGGAAATATCCTTCAAAACAAGAGCTTTCTTGCCGATGTCCCAGTAGGTCTTTAAACTAGAGCTCAGACAAGTGAAACATTATTTGTTGTGATCTGAGCGTTCTGACACAGCCTTCCACCTTGTTAAATTCACGCGCTCCTCCACGACATCACGCCTCTCCTTTTCAACCGACTTCTCCGCTAGCGCAGGCGAAATAAACATTGTGAAAAAACATTGAAACATTCTACGAAGTGACCGGGCTACTAAACAATTCTGAAGAGAATTTAATTCATGTTTTATTTTAGATGATTTAATACCTTTTTTGTTTGACTTTGCATACAGTGCTTAACACATTTATTAGACCACCACTTATGCCACAGCTGCCCTAAATTACCAGCATTGGTAATTACCAAAATACATTTTTATGTTTCTGTAATGGTTAATACATCAGTATGATGAAGCTCTTCAACCAAACTTTCAAATTTACTGTTTTACAAAAAAGAACAAAAAATAGTAAAGCAGGTTATTATTTCTTGATGAGGATGTCAAATTATAGTTATTTACTTGTATTCCTGAACAGAAAATGTGTTTTAGTGGTTGAATGTTATGCTTGATTAATTTCTGACTTCTCAGACAAGCCCAGTGAGCCGGCTCAAATTTGGGTGTAAAAAGTGGAATTCAGTTTGAAATTGGGTTCATATATCAACAAGACATTGAGCCCATACATACTTCAAAGGTGTGCGGAGGCTATTTGAATCTGGAGTACTGGAACTGGTGGACTGGCCCAGTCAAAGTGTGGATTTGAATCCTATTGAACACATTTGGGATTTAGTAGATTCAAAGATTGATCGCACAAAAGTTTCATCTAAAGCAAGTCTGTGGGAACAGACAGAAACTATTTGGAACTCAATAACAAAAGAGACTGTCGAAAAGTAAAAACAATGCCAGCAAGAATGCAAGCTGTTATCAAGGCCAAAGGAAGCTATACCAAATATTAAGGTTTTATGGTTATTATTTGTGGAAAAGGACTATTTAGTTGTTTCAGTTTGTTATTTGCCAAATAAATAACAATGACATGTTAAGTTCTCAAGTTTTTGAAAGATTTCTAAAATATTCATGTTTCCTTATTTTTATGACAGGCAGTCTAATACATTTTTTAAGCACTGTATATTAAGACACTTCCACTCATGGCAAAAAGGTAAAGGTCAAATATTATGCAAAATACACTTCACCATGTTTCTAATATGTGTCCCAAGCCTCTGGGCAGCTCTGGTTATGAGAAAAGTCCATCCTCTGCGTCTTTTACCTACTCCACTTTTCAGAAAATGTGTGCTCAAACAGGCTGTTTGGAGATTTTCCCTTCATGACATCACAAAGGGCAGTAACCCCTCCCCCAGATGGGTGAGACTCCCATAGCTAGGTGTTTGTTCTGCCCTCTGAGTCTGCCTTATCATTGTAAACAATAGGACATGAAGCGAGAAAGCCCAAGCCACTCAAACCCTTCCAGAGAGGGGCGTGGTCAGACACAGCTCATTTACATTTAAAGTTACAGACACAGAAACAGCCTGTTCTGAGCAGGGCTGAAATAGAGGGGTTTATAGGCATGATCAAACACAGGATCAGAGTGGATTTAGAACAAGAAACTTTACAGACATGTTTTGGGGAGCTCTGAGACTTATTTAAATTTGAAAAGGAGGATAATATGTGACCTTTAAGAATGATTACAGGTATCAATGGGTGTTTTAACACTCAGAATGTTATAAATGATGATGTCAAATAATCTGGTGCAGTTTTTTAAAGATTTTTTATAATGAAGAGTTAATATTATTATATATAACAATATATTATTGTTAATTTAAATTAAAGAAAAAGTTAGTTTTTTCTCTTTATTATCAAGCTTTAAAGACAAAACATTGGTATCTGCAGACCAATCAGTGTGTCTCTAAATAAAACATATTTGGCTATACTGAAATGTTTGTTGTTAAGACCAGTGCCCCTCTCTCAAAAGTGTGGCACCTTATGAACCCCCCATTTCATCGATGACTTAGCCAGGCCCAGGGTTTAGCTGTGTGTTAAGCCATGAGTTACAGTATAGTGTGCCACGGATGACCATTCAACGTGAGTCTGGTTCAGCTCAAGGTTTCTGCCTGTTTAAATACAGATTTTCTTACCATTGTTACCAAATGTTGGCATAGTGCTAAATCATGGTGGACTCACTCACTCAAAATTCAGCTGTTCGCGTTCACAGATGCAGCTCCTCCTGGAAATATCAGGAGTTTTCTGCTCGTGTGAAAGTCCAATTATTGTAAGCCAGAAACATGTGAAAATGAACGATAATTCTGCTGGATGCCAATACATTTTTTAAATTATTTTTAAAAGAAAGTCTCCAAAAAGAACACAACAACAGCCTGAGTCATATTCATTTTAATTCTGTTTATGTAGCGTCTCATTTTATCTTATTGCATCATTAATCATGATCATGTTTACATGTTTGTAGATTTCACAGACAAACTGACAAATAAAAAGCAAAATACATTTCATGAGTATATTGGAAAATGCTATTTTTTTAACGTGTTATTTTCTGCACTCTAACAGTTAAATCAAATCACTTCAGTAATGCTTTAGCAGTAATGCCAATACATTTTTTTAATTTTTTAAATTATTAGTAATGCTTCAGCATTACTGCTGTTTCTCTTTTTAAATGGGCTTCACATGGACAACTAAGGATTAAGACATTTCCCCCCTATCTTGGACAAAGCTATGTTACTAACTTTGTTCCAAAAATCAAGACCCACTTTCTCTTTGATCCATGGCATGTATTCACAGACGTCCATGAATCCAGCATTTCCAGTGCAGGCATTTAAACCACTGAAAGAATGGACCCCGTAAATCCTGCATTTGTGCACGACTCCTCCACCAGAGTCACCCTGTGAGACAGATATAGTTAGTTACAGAATTTAACATATAATATTGAAAAACATCAACCGTATTTAAATGGTTGATCCTGTGTTGACTGTAGGAAATGTGTAAAATAAGAAGCCATTCAGACTCACTGGAGCAGTATCCACAGTTTTAGTTTGGCCATTGAACAAATACCGAGCGTAGGTGTCATTGCTTCCCTGCAGACCTTTTTGATATTTCTGACAGTTGACGACTGGGAAGTCAGCACATTGGAGTTCTTTTGGTTTATCCTTTCCTAGACGAGGGTGGGAAGAAAGTATTAACTACAGAGACAAAAACATGTTTAAATTGTTAAGAAAAGGAATCATCACAAAAACAAAACACTTTTTTATAACTTTTACATCCTTCATTTGATTAATCCAAACTCGTTCAATTTCTATTCAGCGTCAAACTTTCTTTTAACTCAAGTTTTTTTCTTCTTTACCAAAGATGATCCCAAACTAACCTGAGCATGAATTAGCTGGGTTTACAAAGAGTGGAAAAATTCTGTTTCACAAATTAATTTAATCTTATTGTTGAACTAAAATATGTAGAGGTCTTTAAACTAAATTGTGCAGTCATTTATGAATAAATAATTGATCATAAGAGTTAAATAACATGTATTTAACCTTTTGTCCCATTGGGAAACACAGTTGTGGCTCCATAACCGGCAACCCGAACTGTTTTTCTGAAATGTGATGACAATGAAATAAATGAAAAAAGTGATTTTACATTTTATTTGGTTTGTCATTGTCGCTTCAAGTTTCTCCAGATTTAAAGTGAAGAAGAAAGATCACAACTCACAGTTTATGACGATTTTCACATTTCTTCTTGTTAGGAAGAGCTACATATGGAATCTTAGTGGGTTTTGATAACTTCAGCAGCATGATGTCATGGTCCCCATTTCTGTCATTGTAGATATGGTGTTCTGTGATTGTCACTCCTTCTGGTGGAACTGGTGGACCTGGATGCACTCCTAAAAATGCAGTCATCTGCCTAAAAAAAGAAAAAGGAACATGACAGTATTACTGTAGATATATTGTAATAACAGAGGTCTTTCAGCTCAATTTGTTTTGACAAATGTATGGTAACTTTACTATGTTATGGTAATTTTAAAACCAAACCATCACTTTCTTACCCCCCATCCTTCCAGCAGTGAGCTGCAGTCAGAACATAGCTCTCACTGATCAGGGAGCCACCACAGAGGAAGTTATGGGTCCCATCAGACGCTATTAACTTGACATGGTACCTGCGCTCTTCTTTTCCACATGGACTACCATTAATAATTCTCTTCTGCAGATCCACAGCTGCGCTCACTGTGACACCTGAAAGAGAAAGTCCTCCACCAGGTGACTGGGAGTTGGAACAGTTTTTGGACAGAACACATTTTTCACTCTAGGAAGTTGTTAATATACTTTGTGTTGTATAATCCTTTGGAAACCCAGTATGACAGCTATTTATTTTCTCCATTTTTCATTATTTTACTTAAATGTAAAAATGTTCATTACTACGTCAATCAATCAATCAAGCTTTATTTATATAGCACCTTACATACAAATCAAATGTAATTCAAAGTGCTTTACAGCGACTGAAAAACAAGAACATAAAATAGTGACAAAACAAGGTAGAAATAAAAATTGATTTAGAAGTAGAGACTAGACTAATGCACACCAATAGGAAATACAAATAAATATAATTATATATAAAAGCCAGACTGTACAGGTGTGTCTTTAGTTTACGTTTAAAAGTATCAATATTTCCAGCTCCTTTCAGATCCTCCGGCAGACTGTTCCAGCGCCTTGGAGCGTAGTGGCTGAAAGCAGCGTCACCAAATGTTTTGGTCTTACTATGTGGAACAACTAAAAGAGAAGAGCCGCAGGATCTGAGAGGCCGTCCTGGTTGATAAATTAGAAGCATCTCTGAGATGTAATCTGGTGAAAGGCCATGTAGTGCCTTACAGAGAATTAAAATAATTTTAAAATCAATACAAAAACTTACAGGCAGCCAGTGTAAAGATTTTATTTGTGTAATGTGTGCTCTCCTTCTGGTCTTCGTTAGCACTTGTGCTGATGCGTTTTGAATTAACTGCAGCTAATTTATTGTATTCTTATATATATATATATATATATATATATATATATATATACATATATCTGTATTATATGTAGTCTAGCCTGATTAACTAACACATTTTAATTACACGTTGAAAATTCTCTTCGTATTTCAAAACTGTTTTTGTTAAGCTTTTATTTTGAATGTTTGTATTGTCTTAAGATGAGGGTACTTAACTTCCTGATTGAATACACACATGCTTTTATTTTGAAATAAAAAAGCAACATTGGGTAGATTGAAGGTATGACATTAACTTAACTACAGAAACAGGAAGTGGTTAGGGATCAAACTAAATGAAAATAGCTAAAGGGACAGTAACAAAGGTAAATGTTTGGTGTCATAAGGTGGATAGTATAGAGTACTTTGGAATCATCAGCTGAGCTTTCTACATGCGATGCAATGTTATTTAAAAAAAAGAAATGCTTTAATTTTACACCCTAATTGATTGATGATTAAAATGTTAATGCTGACAGCTGTAGTTGATAATGAATGGATTCTCTATGCATACATCATGTAGCTGGACCTGTTGTACCAGACCGACAAAAGTTTAATTTTGAAAGTTTTACTGCAAGTTTAATAGAACAGGAAAGTCTACAAGGTTACAAAAATATGATAAATGTTGCATAATTGATTTGTTTGAGTTTTTTGTCCTTTTGAGTAAAAAAAAACAAATCTTACAACCTCCTTACTATATGAGCCTCTGAGCCTGTTAAACTTCTTCCCTTGGGTTTCTGTACGATTCAGTTAATTCTACCTCAAAGGATGAAACTTAAAGAGTAAGCAGCAGACATGTAAAGATAGAATTGACTACTCACCTGCACACAGCAAAAGGAGGAGACACTTCATATCACCCATCTCTGCGTGACTGTTCTCCTGGTGTAACAGTGATGCATTTTAAACATTTTCATGCTGTGCTGTTGGACATCCATCCACCAATCAACACCACAGTGGTTTATCAGTACAACCCCATTGGCTAGAAGCTCTGCACCTGTGCAAATCCTCAAGCCTTCCTCCCCTTACCTTTTTTTTAAAAAATATTTATTTTTGGGCTTTTATTGATAGATAGGACAGTGGATAGAGTCTGAAATCAGGGAGAGAGAGAGTGGGGAGTGACATGCGGGAGGGAGGCCACAGGTGGGTGGCGAACCCAGGCTGCCCGCTTGAGATGACGGCCTCCATGCATGGGGTGCGCGCACTAACCACTGCGCCACCAGTGCCACCTCCTCCCCTTCCTCCCCTTCCTCCCCTTATCTTAACATGAACATCTACTGTTCATGTGTGTTTCAGAAGGGCCCTGTCACCAAAAATAAAAGGTTTTAATGTTCCTGCTGTTGGAGACTTTTGGATTGCAAGTACCTACATACCTTATACTTTAGGTTAAACTAACTATTTTTAATCACTAATAAACTCAGTATTACAACTTGACCTTCATTGTATGAATAGATATCTTTTATCTACTGTGAACAAATAAGATTCAAGTTTACTGTGAAATGCTGTGAAATTGTGGTGGAAGAGGTTGGCCTGACTTAGACTGCCATCTCTCTTCTTTCTTCAAAACGTTTTCACTGATACCTTTCCACTGAAGATGAAACAAAAGAGTTTGAGTCCATGTTGTTGACTTAGTAAAACATGCCCTCTAACAGTTGGACTTACAGTTGTCTGGTCAAGACAGATAAGCTCAAGTGATGCAATAAAAGTCTGTAAATTCACACAGCCAGAGTGTTTATCAGCCGCTTGGTGTTATGGTACATCACATTTTAATACATATAACTGAAGCACTCTACAGCTGGCCTTGTCTGAGCATTCAGTGTATCCAAATGAGTCTTTGAATTCTCACTGTCAGTGTGATTATACACAGGGATCTCTTTGTTCACTGACCTTTTATTATCAGTGAGTAGAATATTCTACTCACTAATATAACCACATCACGTGTGTTGTTTTGCATAACTTAAAGTGTATTCAAGTACAATGCTTGAGTATACGTTTGACTTCCTATTTCACATTACTTTAAAATCTACTCCACTACACTATTAAATAACAAAGAGTAATGTCTTTTACCTGCTTTTTGTGAAGTGAACGTTTTGCTCAAATATAACTTGTAACAGAGACACTCACCGTCCTCATAGCATGCATGGTGTCTGTTGATGTTGTTAAAACATTCTGACTTTTCAAACTGAAAACACGTGAAGACACTGACGTCGGATGAATGACTTCCCAACTCGGAAACTGTGACCAACCGAGGAGCACTTGAATGCAGCATGTAGCTCCGGTCAGTAGCAGCTGCTGCTGTCATCCAGCCTGCACTACGACCTGAAAGACAAGACAGTGGAAGAATGGCATCCCGTAGCTCGGCGCAGTTTGACAGTAGCCTGTTTTCATCAATAAAATGGAGATAAGTTATATGTAGGCTGTGTCAGGATAAACTGGCATCTTGACTGGAGCGATGTGTAACCACACTTAATACAGAATAAAAGCATGACAATCAACACTTAAAGGAACAATGTGTGACAGTGACACTTTAAGGCAGTGGTTCCCAACCTTTTTCTTAAGGGACCCCTATTTTACCATTGTATAAAACTGACGACCCCACTGACCCCCCTCCACATACAATTACAAAAAAGGGGGAAAAGTAGTCAACCCCAATACTGAAGGAAACATCAGTAATTATGTTTTGTATTTAAACGTCTTTAAGATTCTTATATTATTTTTTAACATTGCTGTTCAAGGTTATAAAAACTTTGACACAGGTTATTCTACCTGCCCTGGGATCAGTGCATTAATAGAGAGAGAGAGAGAGAGATACTTTAGGTGCAGGTGTGTGTGTGTGTGTGTGTGTGTGTGTCAGGCCACAGCACTCAGTTTGCACTTGCACTAAAATTCATCACAGACAAAACCTGCTCACATGAATATGTTGTCACAAACACACAGAGTGTCTTTGATGCAAACAGTCATCCTCGGGTATATCAGTGCCAGGTATTATAATAATTTATATAATTCAAGGAAACATTTAAGTGCTGCTCTGCGATTAAACCAGCAAACCTCTGTATGATCTGACAGCCTGTGTGTTATAACGTTTATAGATAAGAATGAAATGTTCCGTAATAGTTGCATAGTTACGGTCTGAAGAGAGCTGGTGATATAGCGCAACAGCAGGCTACTCTATTTAGAAATGATGCTGCGCTGAAACTTTAAGTGATCAGCACAATACTTTCACCTCTGAACCATCTATACATAAAATCAGTTATTAATTTTACATGACTGTTTTTACAATAATCATAAGTCAGGAGATGCCAGAGGCTCAACGCCGGAACCTACACTTAGTCTGGATGTGTGGACATGGTCTGGGCCGTTACGCCTGAGGGAGAGGAGTGTTTTATTTATCTGCACGAGCTGCTCTTTGTGGCTCACTCCAAGAAGGAAGCGTTGATATTATCAGTCAAACTTTAGTTTTACATCAGTCAACACAGGAGAAACTGTTAAGAAGTGTGGACAGAACTGAAGGCCGTCAGGATGAGCGTGCTGCCGTGGTTAAGTCCCGTAGTAGCTCTGATCAAATTCTGGCAACTTGTGAGCAAAGCGAACTAAAGAAATACCGATCCTAATCTCGGACTAAAGGTGTTCAGCCTGTTTGCTGATTAACGTAATGCAGGAGCAGCTCGTTCGCTCAGCAACTCGTCTTTTTATTACTCCTTGAGAAGATAGTTCAAAGTGCTTCCTCATAATACATAAGTTTTTTACAATTCGGGGAAAATAAGTATTACAAATATTTAATTAATAAAAAAATCATCATCAGTACATTTCCCACTTAAATATCAGTTCTTATACCCTTAAAATCAAGAGGGCTTGGCGACCCCCTGGGAAGTTTGACCCCCATGTTGGGAACCACTGCTTTAAGGTACAGTCCTCCAGAAGCAGCACTACAACAAAGCATGTTTCCTTAATGTCTGATGATACAGTAAGGTCATTTTATGATATAATCCAGTGGATATCTTACATATTGCTCCTTTAATAATTGCAGCTTGAAGTCATGCCACTGATCATACAATGGGCCACAAGCAGCTTTGGAAGCTAGATTAAGACACATGCCAAAAATGTAATGGGCTTTGTTTTTTTTCTTACTTTATACATCCACAGAGATACACAGGATCAACGAGTAGAGTGGTTCCCAAACTTTTTCTGTAGGGCAGATTAAAATATTTTCAATCTCCCTACCCACCTCTCAACATACACATCAACTTATATTAACTAACAGACGCAGCCGCCTTCAATTTCCCCTCCCAGCCAGAGGCCTTTCAGCTGCCAACCAACTCCCAGCCTCCCTCCCCTCCACTTCCTTGGGCGTGTGACTAGATTCCACTGTAAACACGACCATTTATTCAATTCCAGGATGTAGCCATGAGATGGCACTTCCCTCACAAGAACACATGAACCTATACTGTACCTTGTTTATTATTAAGTTAGGAGTTTTAATATATAATAATGTGCTTCAGTTTTACAAAAGATTCCACACACAAAGCATTGCAAAGTTGAAAACAATCGCGCAGTGGTGAGGAGTGCAAAATTGCTGAAATAAACATGATAGATTATTTTAATACCCTCTTTTGAAGGTTGATGAATGTCCCCTCTGTCAGCAGTATTAAATAAAGTAAAAACTGTCGCACCTATTCTTCATCCGATCCAAGTTCAGGAAGCATGGATAGCCTTGGGATCGATCTCATGGGTCCGCTTCCTACCACAGCAAAGGGCAAATCGTAGCGATATATTGTCTATTGAGTATGTGTAGCCCCCTTTGAAGGTGTTAAATGCAAAGTTTTTGGACAAAAACAACATAGAAAATGACAGACATGGATGGATGCAACTTATTTACAACAATCTGCAATTTATGTTGCAGGTTTATTCTAACAGCAACAGATTAGTTTTCAAAGTGGGTTTTGGCAAAAACCCCTTATACACCAAAACTTCCACTGAGGTGTCAGAAAAATATTTTTCTTGACTTTGGACTTGTAAAGAGGATAATAACAGACCAAGGGTGTGAATTTGTAAATGATGTACAGTTTTGTGTTCAAAACGTTGTGAATATTTGTAAAGAATCATACCAAATCTGTCAAGGTAATTTGCATACACTATATGTTTGCAGGTCAACCATGGTGCATTTGAGGCCCTCAGTGTGAAACACTGCATTAGCCTACCATCCCCAGGCCAATGGACAAGACGAGCGCACAAATCAAAATATTAAGACTGCGTTTGCAAAATACTGTGGGGAGGGACAGAATGATTGGGATGTCCATTTAAGGGGAATTGTGTACAATTGTGTGTGTTTTACAGAGATCAACCAAGTAAACACCTTACTGTGCACTATTTGGAAGACACCCCCGTGCCCGGGGTGTGATAAACGTAACTCAAAAAAAGGGGGATGGCAACTCTGTTGTTGTTGTTGATGAATCAGAACAACACCTGGAGGCCAAGACTGCAGAAGTCGCAGATCTGCATCCAAAGGTGGGAGTGAGATGGCAATATGTGTAGAACTTTCAACATACGGTTGTGTTTTTAAGGACATTAACATTAAAAGCATTTCATATTTTCTCAGATTTACTAGAACATAAAAATTGCTCAGGGCAGACAAAAGCAGGCGTATGAGACACACTAAAGAAGGAATGTGAAATAGTTTCACTTCAAAGTTGGTAATGAGGTCCTGAATGCAAATAGAAGAAAAGAAGGCCGAAAGGAAGAGGACTAGAAAGCAAGTGCTAGGGTATAGTGCTAGAGATTTAAGGAAATACACCCACTTCAAGACATGCTGGTATGTTTAAATATGTGTACTTCATATTACATTTTGAATGTGCATTGTATCAAATGTACTGTGTTTCTTTTGTATTGGTTTTAAGTATGTTCTG